TAATCTGATGAATAACAAAAACTTTGTGCATTACAGACAAAAATACTAATCTGTAATCATGGAATAATTATTACAGGCGGCCTGCTTGAATATCTGAGCTATCTACTTCTGTTATCTGAATATTTCAACAAGTTATCTGTTTTCTTGTTTGTTTTAACACATTATGCTTATTAGTCTCATAACCTATTCAGGTGCGTTTGTGAAACGTTTACGACATTTCGCTATACAAGTTACAAAAGAGCCTAATCAAAGACATCGTGGTTGTTGGCAATATGTATCGAAACGAATATGCATTATTCACATGTCGATTTCTGAACTATCAACATCTAAATGGCGACTACTCAATATTTATCGCAAGGATTGATTAAAAAGTAAGAAAAGGAAACTTTTTGAAATATTTTGTACTGAAAATTCTATATTGTACCAAAAACATTATATTGAATAAAGCCACTAATGATAATAATTAATTTGTGAATAAATATGAATAACAAGCTCTATATTTAGCACACTAACAAACTAATATCCATCATGAAGTACTTTAAAAACATAAATAATGAATGTTTAGAATTTTCAATCAGATATTTTACCAGTTATTCAATATAAGATTTGCTAATTTCAGTAGTATTTAAATAAATCAAATTGATTTATGTTACTTTATTAAGTAACTGAATAAATGTAGATTAGAAATTGTAATTGTTGAGTGTTACATTTGATTGGGCTTACTGACATCGTTCTAACATAGTTTAGATGACTGGAATGGAAGTTTCTTAAGAAACTGGTGCGTTAATCACAGCCTTAAAATCTATGACTAGTTGAATAGTTCATTAGACAAGGGAATGAAAACAAAATGTTTTACCAATATAGTATGAATAAGTTATTTATCAGAGAACATATGATCAGTCAACAATATAAATGAAAAACAGAAATAATCAGTGATCCTTCAATTCTGATCTCAGAAGTTGATTGTGTTATATCTCAGCGGAGATTAAATTACGAGTAACTTCTGAGAATTACTCATGAACTAATATTATATATGTATTCCTATTGTATAACTGTTCAGTAACTAGATTATGTATATATATATATTTCCCTTATTATAAGTTTTATTTTGACCTATAGGTTATTATTATACGATTTACTGTTCTTAAGTTATGTTCAGTTTATTGATTACAGTCCGTCACGTTCACAGCCACATTTTGGATTGATCCTGTATAAATGTTATTTCCTATTTTATGGTGTGATGCGGTCTGTTTGGTTGGTATATAAACCACGTATGTTTTGAAATAAACGATTTGCATAGTAGGAGCTGTTGTTGGCATTCTGGACTCAACTGGACGGGCTAGGTGAACAAAGGACCAATAAGGACCCTAGGCTTCTCATACCGGCCATGTCATTGGTTTGGCACAGTGCTAAGATTGTATAATTGTATTGGTGGATTAATCGCGAGCTTAAAGTTACAACAGATTGAATTATATTCTGATGAATGAAGTTACAGATGTCGGCTTTCATTTAGGCACTAGTATAAATGACTGATAAACGAGAAATAAATAAAAACTATTGTGATGAATTCCGCTGTCAACTACTAACAACTAGATACTTTGCATCTTGATACTAAAAGGGTATAATGTGCTAGAAAATGTAATAATTTCTGACAAGACAAAAGTAAAAAAATCTATCGAATCCATTCACAATTAAAATCAAACAAATTTTATACAATATTGTGTTAAACTTACCACATTTTCCTCTTATAATTTCTTTAATTGGTTTACATTTACATCCAATCCGTTTATAGTACGTTTTGACTCTGGTTAATAAACCGGTTGTCCTATCACAGTTTTCATAACTTACAGATTGTGGACAAACAACAGTTTGATCTTGTTGCTCACTAGTCACCTTTTGAATTTGATCATAAATAATTAAATCATCTCTTTTAAATAATATCTGCAATTTGATTAGGTAAAAGCAAACAAACATATGATAGTTTACTGTCGAACAGAATCTTGGTATATCGGTAGAATAAGAAACTGAAATTCTGGTTGTAGCAGTCCTTTTAGAAGTTGAATTAAAATAAATATATCGGAAATAGTAGACAAGAAAATACTGTGAATGCCATAAAGAGGACTACTGGAAAACAAGGAGCAATGAACAGCGAACGTTTACTAGTTTATAACGACTAGAATGATGACATTCTGAATGTACACGAAGATCTAACTCGGAACATACAGGTCTTTCGGGTAGTATGAAATTATTTGAATACCAGGTAAGTTCTCTTTACTTAACATTTTAAGATTTTGAACAATTTCCAAGATTGTACGTTCCTCATCTGGTGTCTTCGTAAATTCTCCAGCTTAATCTCAACCTAGCTCACTTCACAATTTCAGCTTTCAATCTTTACCGGCCTTCAAATGTTCATCACTTAACGTCAGTCTATCATGAAAGTTACTTGTAAACCATACAAAAATCCTCACAAATCACTTCATTCGATAAGACAATTTCATGAAACAAAACAACAACTACTACTTACCTCTTTTATTATCATTTATATAATCAATATGTTTTAAACAATGGAGGTGAAGATATAGATGCCGTATTTTGATGAACCTACGAGTTAAACATTTGTCAACTGATAGATAAAGACATCTGCTAGTTTGATGATTCACTTTGTACATTCTATATGAACATTATAAGTTCAATACCTCATTCATAAGTATATATTTACTTTTTGAACTGTTTATCTGACTATGCAGCAACCATCACCAAAAAACTACAAGTATTTATAAACAATTGTCCATGCAAGAAACTCAATGTCCGTTGGCCGGATATTTTCAGCAACAACCTACCATAGCAGAGAACAAACCAACTTCTAGCTGAAGAGGAAATTAGGAAAAGACGACAGAAGTGGATAGGACATAAAATTCGGGAATCATCAGACTGCATCATGAGGCAAGCCTCAAATTGGAATCCTGAGGGGAAACGAAAGGGAGGAAGGCCAAAGAATACAGTGTGTCGGGAATCGGCAGCAGACATCCAAAACAAGGACAGCAACTGAGAACAACTGGAAAGGAATGTCCAGGACAGAGTTGGTTGGAGGATTCTGCTCCCACGAGGGATAACAGGCGTAAGTGAGTAGTTTAATAAGCAATACTTATATTTTGTTTGAAGTCTGATACATATTTTATATAGATTATTACATTTTTAGTACATCCTACATTCATTAACTTACTGATCCAGAAGCGAGTACATAATTTTCAACTGCTTTTATCCATCGACCTTTAAATGGATCACATATCTGTTTCACTTTGGGCTGACTTGTACAACATCGACGTTGAATTTGTATGATTTTCAACTGACACTGACAATTCACTATGGTTGGTACACTTATTTTCAATGTTTCTAAACAAGGAGGTTTACTTAAATCAAATTTATTTAACGTTTGTTTTTCACATGTTGATCTACCAATTATTTGAGCTTTCTCTTGACAACCTGTTGATATAATTGTAAACAAAAGATTGTTCTATAAAAATAAAATCATTTCATTTACAAATGAAGCAAGCAAATAGTTAAAAGTTTATCTTTGTTTTACAACGCACTAAGTAGTTTTAGTAATTTAAAATGAACTAATTTATATAATATTGGAGTACACTCTCCTTATAAATCAGATAATCCAAAATACTATCTAATTTGGCATCACTAGAATAATACACGTTTCTATTTAATTTATGAAGCGATTAACTTAAGCTAAATAATGGTAATAATGCGTATACTTGGATTCATTCAATTCGTGAAACAAAAACTAGTTAATCCTCTTTAGATATATTAATCCCTGTATTATGAAATAAAGTCAAGAGATTCATGCTGAAAATAGTTCAACCTAATGCAATAGATGAAGGGTTGTGCAAGATCATAGATCGATTGAAGTTAGAAATTAACACTGTCAGATACTGGCTCAGTAGTCTAGAGGTTTAAGGTTCGCAAAGGAAACCGAATATCCTGTGTTTGAGTTCAGCGTGCGGGATCATGGTTACGAACAACCGAGGGGTCCCATACTAGGACGAAACAACCGTCCAGTGCTTCCAGATTCCCAATGGTGGCCTATCTTAGATTGACTCGTGAATTCAACTTTGAAAGTAATACAATCTCCAGAAATTCTCATTCTGCTAATACAAATTGAATGTATAATTTAATTCCCATCCGGTATTATTTTGGCTGATTTGTCTTGTATTCAAAATGAATAACATGAAACGGTTTAAACCTGTATTGTATTTAATTGTTACTAATCAATTCTAGTTATAAACGAAAATGGAGAGTTAAGCTAAACTTGAAAAAATACATTAAAGTCACATAGTTAAGTAAGAAAAAGGAAGATCTTTAAAATAAAGAAAAAAAGAATAAAAAGTACTGTTATACAATCACTGTCACTATCATGTTAGTTCCCACTTAGACTAATTTTTAAATCCAATATATTTCCTTACAATATTCTTTAGTGTTCTATTTAGAAGTGAAATGTAATATCTCTCAACTATTTTTGTTACTTACTTAACTGAACTAAAGAATAGTTAATACAAATTTCAAATCAATAAAACAAATACATGTTATTAAGCAAAAGGATTATGATCTTACGAAATTCAAGATAGTTTTCGTAACACTGCACAGTTAACAATAAACATGATTTGATAAAATTTTCAAACAAAAAGAAATATTAAAAAATTAAGTGTATTTGATTTTCACATTCATCTTTTCTAATTCACATGAATCCTTTTTTATCGTAATTCCCTTGGTATCACCACTCTTATTACATATTATATTCACATATCGGTATTATTATTATTACCTCAATTGACAAGACGAAATTCTCCTACTAGGGATTTCATCCACACGTTTTTTTATTTCGTTATATTACCAGTTGAAATCATGAGTCAGTTGAAGCTAGGTCATCATGAAAGACTTGGAAGCACTGGACGCCCGTTTCGTCCCAGTACGAAACTCCTCCGCAGTGCCCATCCACGAGATTCGAGCCCAGAACCTATCAGTTTCGCGCGCGAGCGCTTAATCATTAGACCACTGAGCCGGCATCCAACAGTGTTAATGTCTAACTGCGCACTGCTAAGAAGTCCCATACTAGGACGAAACGGCCGTCTAGTGCTTTCAAGTTTTCCATGGTGGTCTAGCTTCAACTGACTCATGATTTCAACTAGTGAAATTTCTAAAATCTTGACAAAACCCCTTCTTTTTTGTTATATTACTGTAATATTGATTATGGCTCGACACCTAACTGAGAATCATTCCGACCTTTATTAAATAAACTTTCTAATTTAAAATAACACAATTTTAAAGTAACAAATGCAAACGTTCATCATTTTTAACACATAAAACTGTCAAATTCATTAACGCATGCTTTATTTTGGCCTTTGTAAAGTATTATAATAATTATGGATTTATGATTTTAGAGCCTGATGAAGTTAGTAAAAACAATTGTTCCTTCAAATATTCGTTTTTAAATATTCCATGAGGATTTTTTGGACTATAAAGAGGAATACATAACACTTTACTTGATCTCAAACTCATTAACTTTTATCAAACCAATAAAATCTTTGAACTCTATGTTTTAAACTTACGTGTTTCAGTAGTGATTACTTGTTGATCTGGTATACATTGACCTCCAATATTTATGAATGTATTTTTATAAGTTGCTAAATTTACTGTATCTAAACACTGTGTTTTAATTGTTGGTTTGGGACATGCACATAAACGTAATATCTGACGACGCTTAATGGCACATTTACAATTAACTACTTGTTCCCAACGTATTTCTTCAGAGTAATAAATTCCATCTGAACGTTCAATAACACATCCACTGGATTTAATAACTTGATGCTTGGTAGAACATACTAAAAAGAAATTTTCGAAAAAAGATTTTGATTTAATACTTTATCAAGCACTAAAACTCGATTTGATGCAAAATGGTAATTCAACACTAATTCAACCGTTTAGATAAGAGAGAATGGAACTTAATGTGAAAACATTTCATTGCATCACTAATTTCCAATATTTTCACTGATAAAAATATTTAAGAGCAGGATAATTGATCGTTTGTAGAATGGCATTTAAAATGTCTGTGATATATGTTACTTATATCGACAGACAAGAATGTGAAGGACAAATAATGGAATTTTGAAAATGAAGTATTCAATGTATGGTTCTTATATTTTACCAAGAGATTCTATATTTTGTGTTAATGAAATTAGTCGTTTCCACCTGAGTTATCGTTCACTACATGTGCATATCATAAATAGCTGTAAAATAAATCGAGTACCTGTGACTTTGCGAACTGATTTTCCAATCAAAAAGAACCCTTTTATTGATCGAATATGAAGATTGAAAAATGTTTTCAATTACCAAGAAACTTCTGTAAGCAGATCCAGTTCCAAAGCATATCCGACACTTTTGCTATTAAACTCACCATTAATCTAATGAAGTTTCTATAGAGCAGAAGGAACATTTTTGCTCTCCGAACCTTGTTTTTCTTACCATGTTTAAATTTATCAAGGGACTTAATTTTTACTAAATTTCCTTGATAAAAAAGCTAAGTTGTTTTGTCATGGATTTCAAAAACTACTATTAGTCGAATACGCCGAAGAATTTTTCAGATTTAGAAAACAGATTAAAGAACGCTTACAATAATGTGTTTCCAAGTACAGGTGTGGAAAATTCGACAATCGTAAACAACAAAAACTGTGTACATCAACCAGATAATTTGATTAGGCACACATTCTGACTTTAAAACTGAACGCTTATTTCACTAGACTAAGGAATATTCTAGTACTGATGTAGTAAAAATACCTCATTTTCAATTTTTTCTTATTGTTAGAGTTATTCATTTGAAAGTTTGGTCATAGGAATTATAGTCTATGTTCATGACCATGTTTCACATTGAAATAACAATCATATATGAGAAAAGTTGAAAGGTTGGGCAGGCAATTTGTGAGTAGCTTTCCCGAGATTGATACAATTCATCTCTAATGTCAAAGAACATATTAAAACTAAGTAAAGAAGTGAATTGACTTACCTACAGGACGTACGCTACGTACAGTCGATTTCACGCAACGTCCTTGTGATTGACTGAAGACGTTAATTTCTTTATTCACAACTCGAACACCATTTTGACAAAACTCGGTGATGCGATTATCTTTGTCACAATCTGTTTAAAAAATGATTCGGAAATGCACATCAATTAATTTTGAGTTTTATAACTGATGACAGACCATGACTTAATTTGAATAATAATGATCAGAATTTGTATTATCTCTTGGATCATAAGAGTATTTTCAAAAGATACATCACACAGTTTATGCATACACTGTCCTTGAGTATGAGGAGGTTTACAATCAGATTTAATTGTCAAAATATGTCAACATTAATTGTCCTTTTCCGTTACTGATTCTTCCTGTGACTGCAGACTTCAAGATTCTAAGGTTAATTAGTTTCCTATGAATTAGACCGTTATATCACTATAATAGTAAAACACTGAAAATTCATCCATATGATTTGCTTATAGATTAAACTGACTTTTACAACAAATTCTTCACAGTAGATAGCACAGAAATTTTGAGTAACTACTGTCAAAAAATCTATTTAAGGTATTTTACTCAGATGTATCCACAGACTTTAAATAAAATCAAACTAGAGTGAAAAAAAATAAAATGCTTACCACATTTCTCAAATTCAACTTTCACTTGACTTCGGCATTCACACGTTTGCTTATCCAGAATCTCATGCATGAAAGTAGTACGTTTCAAACTATTTTGGCAAGGTTCCTCTTTCATTCGTACAGCATTTACTCGACAATTAACTGGAATCCTCTTTATGTAGTGACGTACAGAACAGAATCGTTTATCGTTTCTTTCCACAAGATATTCTACATGTTTCATGAGTATTTTATTCCCGTTTTGACATTTTCTTGTAAATTTAGGTTTTCGGCAGTCTGATGGTATAATATTAACATTATTAATTTTAAAAAATGGCAGAATTTAGACTACTGATTTTGATATTAGTATATATGAAGTAAACATACAGAAGTGATTATCTCAACATCGAGGACGCGATATGACCAGTGGTCACATTGCAACTTGATCTATAGACTTAGATTGACATTAAAAGTACTGGGAAAACACTACTTAATGATCATTCGATTGTAGAACTGATTATCTCTTATTGATCACTTTTAGACAAGTGGTTTAATTTCTAATTATTAAACTATGAACTCTACTGTACTCTGATAAATGGAATCCACAAATGATGTTAAATGGATGGTTTCAGTGAGTTAAATTGGGCTAGAACAACTTATATTAGTATTATATTGTCATAGATTTTATTATTTAAATCAGATCATTTCGTAATCTCAAACAATTGAACAAATGCTGTTGTTTATTCTTGAGAAATAATTATTTACTTCGTAGTTTCAGTGATTGATTATACACTAATCAATTCAAATTGTCGACAAAAATTAAGGGTACAATTATTGACAAACCTCTTCTTTGACTAGAGTTTTCATAAACCAGTCGTTGTTTTATGTTTTAGAAACAGATAGACTCAACCCAGTTAACTTTCCATCAACACGAAGAAGACAAATGACGAATAAAAATACATAATCAGTCAAGAGCAATAATGTTATATCTGTGAGACAGTAGCAGCAGATTAAAGGGTAGCGAATTATCGATCGGACCAAAGACGCACAGACACGTAGAACGACCTAGGGTTCTGATTGGTCCCGCTTCCCTATCTAGCCCAGCAGTTGAGTCCAGAACGCAAGTCACAGCCTCGGATATATGAATCATTATATTTCAACCATACTTTGTTTATATACCAGTCAAACAAACCACATCATACCATAAAATATAAAACAACATTGTACAATATTGGCCAGTAGGAAAATGACACGTGAAATAAGTACTGACCAATAAGAAAATAATACCATGTCCAAGTCCAAGAATAGCATTAGGCTTAATAGGATAATTTCTGGGATATTTTCCTGAATATCCCAACACCTCCCCTTTTTTTGGAGATTCGGAGTTGATATCCGGACTTTGGATTTCTTCGCATCTATCCTCCCCCGCGGAATAAGGTTGGGTCCTCGTATACCCAAGTAACAGTTAGTGCGACTCTATTTAAAGCATATTTCCCGCATTGAGTAGAGAGTCCACTAGAGCTGACTAGATGCTGAGGATCAGCGACAGTAGATATGAGGTCATTAGAGTTTGATTCTTGTGAAACATTCCCATCAGATCTCTTCGAAATTCCATTAGTGGATAATACGTTACCAAAATAAACAGCATCTATCAAAATTAAATTAGATTTCTGACCATTGTTTGATGCATGTGATACATTCTCTGGCAAAACAAGAGGATCTTTTCGTGAGCTGGATATGCTACTGTCTGTACATGCTATTTCGGGGATGATGGAGTTTGACTCCATTACCGGGCATGTTTCTGGAATAGAAAGTACTGGACCACCGGGCGCATCATGGACGACTGTTTCGTTTGAAGTACAGTTCATCGAGGATTCATGGAGGCTGTCATTTTCCAGCTCACTGTGAAACTCAGATATCAATCCGTCCACTTCCGTCGCATCTTCATAGCGTGACTGATTTAGCAGCTACGTGCGGAATTTGACTAATAACTCCAAATGTCGTTCAAAGAGCAGCTGTAATCGATCGGAAGGGAGAGTCATTTTTTCGAATCAGCACTTGTGATGAGAATTACTGTGTGAATAATGACCAATGTCGTTGAAGGACAGTGACGACAATCTGGATGCTGATTGGTTGAATAATTAGACTGGATTTCGTCCAATTACAGAATGACTTTGGATTGTATTTTTTTCACCCCGTCGCCAATTGTTATAACTGTGAGACAGTAGCAGTAGATTAAAGGGTAGCGATTTATCGATCGGACCAAAGACGCACAGACACGTAGAACGACCTAGGGTTCTGATTGGTCCCGCTTCCCTATCTAGCCCAGCAGTTGAGTCCAGAACGCAAGTCACAGCCTCGGATATATGAATCATTATATTTCAACCATACTTTGTTTATATACCAGTCAAACAAACCACATCATACCATAAAATATAAAACAACATTGTACAATATTGGCCAGTAGGAAAATGACACGTGAAATAAGTACTGACCAATAAGAAAATAATACCATGTCCAAGTCCAAGAATAGCATTAGGCTTAATAGGATAATTTCTGGGATATTTTCCTGAATATCCCAACAAATAATAATCGTGATTCCAGAATCAACACACGTAAAGAATCTGTTGTGAATATCTTTATTGAACAAATGAGACCTAGTAAGTTTTCCCTTCAGTCTTTAGTGTGGTCAAGTATTAGATAAATTGTTAGCTTTTCATTACTAATTAAACATCAACTGTTTACTTACGACAAGGTTCTTCATATAAATATTCCTTTTCTTGTTCACATGCCACTTTTCCAGATTCATCATTCCTTCTAAGGATATAAATAATACGCCATACTTTACGGGAAAGCTTTCCTGCAGTACAATTCTCCTTATGTAATACTGGTAATGGACATGCTGAAATTCCAAAAATTAAGTTGGTTAAAGAGGGATCTTTTAATGATAATAATAGAAAAAAAACTGATTTCCAAGTTAATGGATATGTTATATCATTTTTTTCCAAAACTATGTATCTGAAAAATAAAATTCAAAAGTATCTGATTTCTACACCACTGTCAGTTTAACGTAGCTTCACCTAATTTTAGTACAAGTTGAAACACATTCTTTCAAGTGAAGAAAAAGAGCTTTGCCCAACTTTTTCAAGTGGATTCTTTCTAGTAGTTGCGTTGAAAAAGTCACAAACTAATGACTATGCTCACCATTTCTTTCATATTGTTAAGAAATTTTGAATGAATGTGGTATGTACATCATCTGTCAAGTGGAAAGTTTTATTTCTTATAATAACAAAAAAGAGAAACATTTTTACCATAAAGCATCAACTTACTGCATGGTTCCATTGTAGATTCAATTTTCAATTGACATTTACAACCAATTAAATTATAGAAACGTCTTTGAACTGGTCTTATTTTTGTATTCACATCACACTGACCTCGGTTAATTTTTTCTTCAGGGCATACTAACAGTTGGACAAAAATAACCAAAGTAAAAATTAGTAACCCTTTAGTTTCTTGAAATGAATTTTTAATTATAAGAAAATAATCTTGAAATATTTCCGAACCTAATAATAAAGTTATGGGTTGATCACAAGATTTTAATTGCTGAATAATTCCCATTATATTAAAAACACAATTGTATGAACGAAGAATATTCTTTTCAATAATTTCTCATCAAATTCTACAATTATAAATCCAAATTAATAATCTATAAAATTGGCCAAATTTAAGGCAAAATACATCATTTGGAAATTGTAATATACGAGACAGGAATTGTGAGATAAATTATCAGAATAAATATGGTCAACATGGGGTAAGAGAGAGAGAGAGAATATTGTGATTACAAATCGGAAATTACGTAATATGTAAAATCACTGAATAGTAGCCAATATTTATTAGTTTTTTTAGAAGAAAGAGTAGTCTGACTTTTGATGGTTCAGTATTTGACTTCAATTTGATTGTATGATGGTACTAGGATGATAAATCTACCGTTTAACTTCATATATTACCGAGTTTATACCCGTTTATGTTACGAAAGTAATGAGAAACCAAATACAGGTTGCGTTGGATTAATTTATTTCAAGCATTGGTTTATTCAAACAGACATTCAGAATGAGAAGCGGGGGAGTAAACTGGAGCGGAGCAGAGAAAGAGAGTGAGCCAACTCAGTTTGAATACAACTAATGACTCTAGTCTGAAAAGTCTTTAGAAAAGTAGAATGAACCTGCACTGTACCTTTAGCAAACAAACAAGGAGGAATCAGTTTGGTAGTCAGTATTGAGTAAAACAATAAAATTGATCTTTAAGGATAACCATCTTTTTTCAGTGATTAGTGAAAATGCTATACCTAGCATTTCCCCGTTCATTTCGGTGCATCAGTGTTGCATATAAGACTGCAATTCTCACAACAGACTGTTCATTTTATTATCTGAAACTATCTACATGTGTCTTCTGTAAGCACGCTGCTGTATCAAATTCCAACTTAATGAATAAGAAAAGCAAATGAAGTAAAAAGTAAGGACTTGAAGTTAAATTTTCAGTGAAAATTATCCTCTCAGATTCAAGATTCTTTGAACGAATTAAAGCTAGATATTACACATATACTGCACATTGTGAAACACATTAGCTATAAATTTAAGGTTACGTATTTTATCCTAAATTATGCGATCTTTCAACGATCTTTCGACGAATTTTCGTCTTCTCATAGGTAAACAAAAAGCAGAAAATATGAAGAAATCTTTTCAAATATGAAATAAATCATCACAATATCCCAGGAATGTCAAAGTCATTAAAATGTCTTATGTTAGGCAAAATATGGATAGCTTTCAATTGCCAATCAACATATAAAATGAATATGTAATTTTATATAAGATCAAAAACGGAATAACTATTGTATTATCTGTATATTTATCAACTATCTACATTTCCTAAACACCCAACCATTTTTTATTTTATTTTATCTCAACACATAGATATTGGTACAAAGAGGCACCAAATACATATGCGCCACACAAATCTCATTTGATATGTGTGAAGGCTGTGATACTGCCCGGGTGCCCAGACCGAAGCAGGTGGTTTTCTTAGGGAGCCACACCCCGAGCCTTCGACCTGAGGGTCTGATCCACAAGGCAGTGGAGCATCGTAAGGAGATGCAGTCCCATGGAAGCCGGTGACCAACGATTGGTTCATACGCCATTTGTTCCCGCAGGATACTGGAGCTCATGTGCACCATTGGTTTGGGATCCGGTTAAATCGCCGGACATTCGCTTTTCGTCCTCTCATTTTCGTAAACAACACCCCCGCCACGAGAAGGCAGTGAGTAGGACTTCCCTGACAGAGGCTATATACACGAGGCCGTGTGAGAGCATTTCGAGAGGGAGAGTGGACTCTCCGCACTCTCGACCGCACCAGGGCATTTTTGTCTAAGTTATATATTAATTCTCTCCTAGGAGTTTACAGTTCAGCTTAAACCAAACATTATCACAATGATTTTGTTATTAAAGAATTAGACGATGAACAATTGCCATTTGATTTTACCAAGCTAATTGCTTTTTCCAACATTAAAATCTATTATAATTTAATTTATTGGTCATCATCTTCAGAAACTTACCAACTTTGTGCTCATCAACAAACTTTCTAGTGATACATTGTTTTTTGAATAATTCATAACGATACATAATTCGTGATACAATACCATAATTTTGATGACATTTTTCTTGGAATCTTGGATTCGGACAACAACATCGTATATTTCGATGAATAATTTTTTTCATCATTCTCTGACACTGACAGTTTTGAAGGACAGTTTTCAACAAAATTGTAGCAAGATAACAAGTTTGTTTATCACATACACGTTTAATAAATCGTGCACCATGGACACCACATACTGATAAAATATTTGAAAATAAATGGAGTGTTAATAATCAAAGAAAAGGAAAAATTCAATAGTGAAAAATCCCTGCTATTGTAATCGTCCATTTAACTAATTAAACCTGATGTTAGCGATTACAACTAGAATGCCCTGATTGATATCAGTGTCATACTATTTGTTATTCATCAATTAGACATATTTCATATATTGTGAGAAACGATATTCTCTGAACAATCCTTACCACAGGCATCTTCAACAAAGTCTCAGTATCCATATCAGTTGATTAAACATCACTACCAATACTGATAATAATAATAATAATAATAATAATAATAATAATAATAATAACAATAGTAATAATGAAATGATGCAATCATATTACAATTACGTTATTCCGCCAGCCTTATCATTTATGTAAAACCTAACACAACTAGGTAACTGAACAGGAAAATAACAAGAATATTAAGATAAAAACTTAGTGAATATTTGATAATAGGCAATCGCTAGAACAATAGGCTAAAGCAGTATGAATAAATGAACTAGGAACCACCAAGTATCATGCAAGATTATCAACGTACTTCTACATCGTAACATATGTACTTTACCATAATCTTTAAGGCAAACTCTATGAATACTTAATATAATACATTAAATACATAGAGATGATGATTTCTCTACCTTAGTTGTCAGGCGGCCAAATACCTAATCGAAGAGCAAAATACAATTTTAATAACAGAGGATTCAGTTTCTTCAGTTGGATTATACTAGCATGAAGAAGATCACAACATTCCTCGAAACTAGTTAAAATGACAATAAAGCATTTACCAAGTATGCTACTGCTAATTCAATTTACCACATTTTTAAGGAAATAAGAAATCATTTGTTTTAGATATTTTGTCAGATTTATGGGTACACCTAGTGTGTTATCATTATCATTTGAAGCCAACGTGAATAATTGCACTTCATTGTTAACCATCAACACATTTAGCTAGTTATTGCTAATTATTTTCATTTTGTCTACCATGTAATCTAAAATACATGTTTATACATGGTTATTTCATACTATCTAGTACGTTGTAGATCAGTAGCCCTTATTAGTCGATAAAAGACAGACTAAAGTCATCATGAGGACCAAAAGAAAACAATTGCGAAACAGCTATCCAGTTTTTACTTGATTGACTCTTTGTTTTCATAAGGCGTTCAATTGTAACAAGAACCTCAGAACTGAGTTATATTCACAAACTGTACAACTAAATACTCATACAAATAATTTTTAAATTATTTCCAAAAGATGATATTTTTTACTTGTAATTAAACCACTTACCGACATTCTTGTGTAACTGATCTATTTGACGGACACATTTTCCTTTATATTCATCCAATTGATATGTTACTTTTTTAATAATTAACAAACTTCCTTTACGTTGGCATTCACGATATTCAACCGGTTTAGGACAACAACATTTTCCTTGAATATATTTTTGTTGTTTCTCACATTTACATCCAATTTTAGTAAACCAACTTATGGTAGTTAATTGATTACATGTGGCGGGATCACATTTTACATCGACATTTTTTTGACTTGGACAAACTGGGCGAAAATATTGGAGAAATAATTTTAATAAATAACTTTAGATACGCTATGGAAAATATAGAGTATATTGGACATTATTATAAAAGTAAGAATCAAAGATATGGTAGTGCAAAAAATGTGATGCAGTGATGCTTAAGCCTGAGAAACATTTATAAGAGGTTGAAAATTAACAGCGTTGGATGCCAGCTCATTGGCCTAGAGGTTAAGCATTCGCGCATGAGACCGAAGACCAGGAACTTGAATTCCGCGAGCGGAATCGTGGATGCGCACTACTGAGGAGTCCCATAATACGACCAAATAGCCGTCCAGTACTTCCAGTTCTTCAATGGTGGTCTAACATCAATCGGTTCATGATCTCAATCAAAAACTTCATTGTAACAGCGAGACTATAATTCATGGACGAGCCAAACAGAAACGAGTTAGCGATCTCAAGGTCACTGCATCTATTTTAATACCCAATGATAACGTACGATCGGTTTACAGAGGATTTCAAAGAGGATGTTATAGTTAAGCAACTACGACGGACCCTGTGCAAACTATCGTGATGATGTATTTCGACGAAATATATGTTTGAGGAAAACATGGTTTAGAACGGGAACGTTTTTGTCTCATTTCCGATTGAGACTAAGACAGATTATGATGATTGTTGCAAACTGGATAATAAAAGTACCAATGACACCGACTGCAACCTTTGCAGATGTTGCTGAAGCTTCGGCAGTTCAATGGTATGGGTATTGTCGAGATATATGTGAAATAAAAATCACATGCTTTCATGAATCTTTTGAAGGAGGTGGGAGAATCATAGATATAGACGGGACGGTTGTTAGAAAACGTAAATTCAACAGAGCACGATGTGTTAAATAAGACTGGATAAGCAGCGTTTCCACAAATATACTTAACAGGTCTGTGGTATATACGATAGATCATCCCGAAAATGACAATTCCAGATCGTTAGAAACCGATAAGCTACAACCATAATCCCAATTATACGAGAGTACGTGTAGCCGGGAACCACAATATATATAGATGACTGGAGAGCATATCGATGCTTACATATATTTGATTACGTGTATCATGTCATCGTCAAGAAGTGGAATTTTGAAGACCCCACCACTGGAGTGCATACAAATAATATAGAATCAATGTGGTGGAGACTACAAAATTTTTGTGATCCCATCATAGTTCCATATATTGACTATTATGCAGGCGTATCATATGCATTACGATTTCAGAACTACAGATCCTCTTTCCAACCTTGAGAAGTCTTTAAACCATGTTAAAGAAACGTATCCCCTCTAATTTTTGATTTTGTATAATATATCCTTACTCTAAACCTACTGTTTTCTGACTGAGTGAAATTTGTCAAGGTAAATTAAGATTTATTCTAAGGTCGTCCCTAAATTATAGACTCGATACAATTTGAGATGACTAATTCAAAACATTGGAAATTTCAAAAAAACAAAGTTAATTTATCTATCCTAGATTTTACATAATGGATAAATGAAAGGAACAAAACTTGTGTCCACCATAGTTCATATCTTCTTTCAGTCTCTTATTGTTTGATAAATTTTAATAAAATTTACTGTCAGATTTCATTTATCAACGTCATTTGAATGAAAACTACAGTGAAGATTGTCTGTTGTGTTTACCATTATTTTGTCATATCATTCACATTTATTTAAATAATCATAACCTACCCACAGCTTTCTTCATCCAAATTACTTTAGGTTGACATATTTCATTTTGAAGTTCATGAACTATCTTCTTTTGTAATAGCATATTATTTTGCTTAGAGCAGACAGGATTTTTCACTTTTCTGTCCAAATGCTTACAAGCTATAATAAAGTTTAAAGTAAAGATTGCAACATAAAACTATTTACAAATGGACTTGAGTATGAAGTATACTTTCTGTGTACATAAAAGTTACGGTTATAATATATGTAGAAATGTACTTAAGATGTTAATTGAACTATTCGTTGAAAATTTCTTTATTCTAGTTAGTTCATCAATTAATGTTACATATCATTGAAACCTATTTAATATTGTAAAAGTCCCATTAACATCATTAAATAAACGGCCGAATTTCCACTAATAACTAACTAAGAATACGGCTCTTCAAGTCTGTAATGAAAAATTATGAATATAAAATCTACCGTTAAATGAATTTTATTACTTCTTCAGTTGAGTCTAATTTTTTTTTAAAAAGAAAAGCTAATATAGATCTCTACCAAACCAATTTAAGTTATGTATGGTTCATTATAATAAAGAAATGATAAACATGGATTAATACTAAGATGGATAGTGACTAGCAGTGGAGTCCAGTTTGACGCGCGTTTCGTCTTACATGGGACTCGTCAACTGGGCGAGTTAATTTTTGTTTCGGGACTCGAACTCAGGTAGATAAATCCAGCTGATGAGTTCCAAATAGGATGAAATGCGCGTCAAACTGGATTTCACTGCTAGCCACTATCCATCTTTGTTTAAAAAGCTTGTGACTTAAGGCAATATCGATGCAATCCGCACAGGATGCATATATGCCAACATGAGACTGATCGATTGTGGTCCTGAATAACAATGCGAAGATACAAGTAAAATAACACCAAGTGAATGGATTAATACCATGTAATAGAGTTCCATTGATACTTTAACCAATAAACCTAACATGTAAATTTTTTTAACTATAGTTTATTATTCTTAATCTGTTATTGAATGAAAAATTGAATGAATTTCCATCTACAGTTAACAGATAAAACAGGCGAGAAATCTTTCCAAGTAAACTACGAAATGTATGAATATGAATTTACTTATTATTATAAATTAAATAGTTTTTAAATTCATTTAAAATGTATGAACCATACTGAATACAGACAGATTGATAAATAACTATGAAGTTTGATTACATAACAATTTTCTTCGTGACTTTACACTTAAAAATAAAAACCATTATCCATTAAATTACCAAATCACTAGAAAGATTTTCTTTGAAATGTGTAACGGCTAATTCGTATATTCCCATTTCAATCATCAATCACTCTCGACTGACAGATGAAATAGAAAATGTGTAATCTATACAATTGGTAGTTTGCACTACACAGACTTTAATCACTGAACACTTTCGCATTATTTTCATTAATATTATGTAGATAATTATACAACCAAGGTGCAGGATTGGAATTATCAGTGTTAAAGGAGAAATTGTCATAATCCTATACTAATTTATTATCTTTTAAATAGTAAGTAAATCACTCACAGCATATACGTTTCTGGTAATTTGTTCTTTTAACGCATTTGCATTGTGATGTCAATGTTTTCCATGATGTTATACTATCCAAAGCAATTCCTGTGACTAAATTACAACTACCTTTAACAACAGTTATTTCAGTTGGGCAAACTGAAAGAAAGGATAATGTCATATAATTAGTTTACAATCCCAGAAATTTCAAATGTCAATGTTGTTTAGATTCAGAAAATAACCAAGAATAAGTCACATTATTATGAAACAAGTGAACCACCTATTGTTAACATATAAGGAATCTCACATTTTATTAGTTTGTATCTGTAAATGATACCTAATTACAAAACGGTATCATTGCGTAATGGGTGATTTCAACTTCATTTTTTCATATGAAAATGATGTTGTATTCATGCAATGATTTGTTTTGCAAGGGACTAATATTCAAAGACTCTAAGCACTGAGATAACAACTATTCTATCTATTTTATTGAAATATTGTCATTAATTAATTATAAAGTGATATGCTACAATCTGCGTCGAGTATAATGGAGGAAAAGTATTGTTATTGCTATCATTTTAATAAGTTGATTTCAAATCTGAATTTTTCACAGTATATATGCTCAGTGTATCTTGTACAGATGATAATGCGCGTACTGGTATATATTCGTTTGGGCTTTAATGAAATATTTCACAAAATGCCGACTCTATTTTAATGTATGTATAGCTGTTATCATAATTTTCATTGGTTTATTCTTTGACTATAATGCTTTGTTGCTTAATCAACAGACAATCAACTTTATGAATCATTCTTTACTTGTTAGTGATTAGTTCTGTGGTGTGAGTTACTTATATCTATATAGGTAGTATATAACGGTGGTCAGGCATATAATGTATTTCAGCAGAAGATCGAGAAGGAAAGAACGAAAACTGAATGCAATTGGTACGAAAATGCATGAACAATGAAATCTGAGACAATGAACTGATATTTACGAAAGGAATGCTCAAGTTTGAGACGATGGACTGATTTTTTGCAAATCAACTATTTACTATATGGTTCTAAGAATTTAGTGAGATGCACTGTAATTTCATGTCAAGAATATTCGATCGTCTCCACTCGTGTTCTTGTTGACTACAGTTCTATCTTATTTACTTCAAAGTTATCAGATAAGTTCATTCGACTATTTATCTGTTTCAATGATATACTATTAAAACATTGTGTTGATTACTCTTCATTTAACTTTAATTTCACACAGGTTTTCTGTATGGATATGTTATCATACGTCTATTGACCATTTTACTTCATTAGTAGTTGTATACATAATATTTGGAAGAGCGATAATCAATATAAATTTACTAGCACAGTTATGGACTAATTGAATTACATTTAGTTAGAAATATCTCTACTGATATTCAATATTTTAACTCACCAAGATTAATAAATGTCTTTACATCTTTAAATTCACATAATTCTTTATGTGGATTAAAATAATATGTACGATTTGTAATTTCTGTTTGTCCATTAGTAGGAATACATTTTTTAAATAAATTATCTTTATTAACTTCACGTCGACAACAACATGGACGCATTCTAATGTCAGGATGTAACCGATGACATTTTTTATCTTTCTCTTCGATTGCCCATTTTGTTATAGTTGTTTGTTGAAGACATGTATTTGGATCACATGGCTTTACATGAACAGTTGAAGATTGACAGGCTATAAGAGAAATATACAAAGTATTTGTAAGAATCAGTCAAAAACAAAGAATAATATCGATAATAAAAAGTCCAGAATAGGTGCATAAATGTAGTAAATTCAAGTTGTACCAGAATTTAAACTACAGGTATTTCAACTCCAAAGTAAAAGATATGTAATTTGAATAACAAATTTTTTGGATTTCATTTATACCAGTTCGTGAATACCTCAACTGTTTTATTATTGTGACGGGGTCTTCTGAAGCCAATCTGATAAGTCTTCTAATTGAACGCTAGATTTGGTTTCCTAAGCTCTCTATTAACACCCAGGCTAGATGAACACGAGAGAAAAGGTGTGAAATAAGAAAGAAACGCTTTACCGCAAGGTTCGTTAATGTATTAAAAATCTAGGGTATTTATAGCATTGTTGATGGTCTTGGGTTTCCGGAACGCTACTCAACACAGTAACAGTTTAGGTAGTCATTCAATCAGAAACCTGACATGTGACTTTTCATTTTCTAGATATCTCTGGCAAACTTATACTGAGTGCTGATTGGATAAGATGTTTCTAAGCGTTTTCAGAGCCTTTTTGGCTTTTTTCGAGGAATTTTCTGAATCTTCCCAACACAATCCACTTAAGCTTAAAGCACCCATGCTACAAATCGACAAATTACTCGCTCGAACACTTTTCATTAAGGGCATTCTTAGGATCATAGACTATAATTCAAAAGACGTTTTACCTAAAGAAATGACCAACTTCGTCAAAAAGAACTTCACAAGACTACAATGTTCAATGTTTTGTTATCATTTTGACAACTGGAAATCGATGTTTTCAGTTCCATTACAGTGACAATAAACTAATTAGTTGATTTGGGAACAGTCTTTAATGTTGCTTTTTCCTCAGGATTAGTCTTCTTTCTTTATATTATGAAAATGTCCTAAAATTCAATATGTGTGAATAAATGTAGCTCACTTACAGAATAATACAATATATATTTTATACAACACTACATACCACATATTCGATCACGTTTCTCTCTGTACACCACTTTGCATTCACATTCTTCAATTATGGATCGTGTAATTAATATTGGTTGTTTCCCAGTTGTTTTATCACACGGACCTATCGGTGTTACATCTTGTGGTTTACATACAGGTGGTGATAGATTCTTAACGACATTTGTCTTAACACATTGTCCATTATGTAATTTCCAAAGTTGTGCAATCTGTGGAATTAGTCAATAATGAAGCATATAAATAATTTTGATTACAAAAGATAATTATTCGAGTAAAAATATAAAACGTTCAAACTTTTAAAAGTTTACTATTAAGCTATTTAATATCGAAATTGTCAGATCATAAAAAATAACAAACTATATCGTTTATGGTAATAACTTTCTATCATTTGTGGATACATTTAGAATTCTTCAAGTACAGTTAGTACAGTTAGACGAAACTAAAATAATAAACAAACGATTAGTCGGACTAGAAATTATACAAAAAAAATACTAGAGATTAAATATTAAATATACCATTATATGATGAAAGATTAAAGTTAGATTATCGAAAAGTGAATAAATAAAAGACATTAAAATTTAATTCTCATTTATAATAACTTTCATTTGCCTACTTGAAATATTATATTGGAACTATTCACTATTTGGTCCTACCTTCAATTTTTTGGTTTCAAACATTTTAGTCGATCCAATAATTTACTAAGTAATTGAATTGAATTCGAATCCCGCGAGCGGGATCGTGGATGCGCACTACTGAGGAGTCCCACAATACGACCAAATGGCCATCAAGTACTGCCAGGTTTTCAGTGGTGGTCTAATATCAATTGGTTCATGATCTCAATCAAAAACGTAATGATCTTCACAACCCCTATACTTTTACTATAAATTTATATTAACCATATTCAAAACGTTTTAATTGCGCTACAGCTGGATATTAATAGGCGAAGAAAATAGTCAATTTATTATTTGCTTCAATATAAATAGGTTTAAATGGTTTTTTCAAATTTACTATTTCTCTTCATCGTACCATTTGTAGAGTAACGTAACGTCCCTTCATTTAGATGAGATTATTTAGGAAACATGTTTATATTTGTCCTTGTGAGGACAGTCCACAGGTGAATTCGAGGAAGCTCTAAGAAGCTCAGAAAGAGCCGAAGATATTCCATTCAATCATCTCTTGGAAGAATATTCCAGAATCCTCACGTGTAACTTCCCTATTGGACAAATGCTAATGCCCTCCTGATGGAAATTGGAAAACTATAATGATGATTCCGTTTTTACTAAAAACTATAAATACCTGAGAGTTTTGCACTATAAATGACACTGTTTGAAATAGCATTCCCTTCACTTGTCTTCTGTGTTCTCATTTGCCACTTGGAAGGTTCTAGCGTTCGAGTGTTCACGTTATAAGTAGGCATATTAAGAATTTAAGCTCTAGATATAACAGTTTTAGAACGTCGATGATCGTTTATATTACTATCTAAGCATCAATGTATAAATTACTTTAATGTATCGTTATGTAATAGTCAGATTGTCTACTGCTATCATCATAAGATAATGAAATTTAAGATGAACTTTATCAGAAATATGTTACCGAGATGTTTCGATAAAACATGGTTAATTAGTTATTAGATTATTTAAAAACTCTATTTTCTGAATGAGTCAAATCTAGACAGTTTTAGAATAGATCAATGAAGAGATCAAGAAACTGTTGGTAATTTACAAACTTTCATTCTTTTAGCAAGAAAACAAACAAACAAGATTCTTGAATAATTTTCCGTAAATATAGTTAATCACCGTCGTACTGACAGTATTCTAAAAGTGCAAAATGTAATATTTATAAAAACATTCTTAGCACAACCTAATCATAACACAATTCTTCAGAACTCAAAACTCGATGAAAAAATAGTTCATACTTTTGTAATCTGTAAATCACTGGTGAGGAGTCCCACAATAAGACGAAATAGCCATCTAGTTCTTCCAGTTTTTCAATGGTGGTTTAACACTAATCGATTCATGATCTCAATCAAAAACTTATTACTCTCTACAACCCTATACTGATCATATTTTATCAACATATTCCGACACCAACTCTTTTTACATGTTTAAAACAAATGGACAAACTTATCAAATGTAAAACTTATACAAATTAATCTTATATAAAGTCTATAAACTTCTACTTACTGATTTATAACTTCCATCTGGTGAACAAATTTTTTTAATTCTAGGTATACGATTTGTACAACAGCATAATTTTGGAATAGTGATTATTTGTTGGATACATTTACATCCTATTCTATTCCATTGATAAGTTGTTACTATTTGTTGACATGAATTAGGATCACAATATTGATTTTTTTCAGATTGACTTAATTGAATTGTTTTAGGGCATATAATTTGTTTCTCTTCAATAGTTTCACGTTTTATACATTGACCATTTTCTAATCTATTTTGTCAGTAATAAAATACATATAATTAGTGATTATTTTAGGTAAAGATGTCTTATAAATATGATGACAAATGAATGGTCTTTTTTAATGATGATGGTCATACTACTCATTATAAAAGAAAAATATGTATGGTGAATTAATGAGGGCTTTTTTATTTTCTGATGAAAATTACTCAAGTAGTTTTGATGCCTTAAAACTAGTGCTAGGGTCTAAGCCTAGATTGTGATTTAATATCGCTTAATAGTTGATTTTATGCACAACAAGTTAGTTCATCGAATTCTTCTATTAGTTTTAATTTTCTTTATCATCTTCTTCTATCTTACGTAAGAAGAAGAAAACTATCTCGCAAACGGTTAAATTAGAAATCTCTAATAAACAGATATTCTCAACTCATTCAATTAAATTATAAGCAAAGATGGATGTTGGATAGCAGAAAAATCCAGGATGTGCGTTTCGCACTATTCGGGACTCGTCGGCTGGATGTATCTGTATCTCAGAGTTGATGTTCACTCTGGGACTGGAACCCATTGCCGTTCTCTTCAAATGCCATCGCGTTATCCACTTGGCTACTGAGTCCTGATAGCCACTTGCTTGTGTAATGGGGTGAAGATTAAATTCAATTGGTATTGTTCACTTGAATCCATCTATGGCGTTTGAAGCGAAAGGTACTGGGTTCGAGTCCCAGGTGCAGGTACATCCAGCTGACGAGTTCCAAATAGGGCGAAACGCACGTCCTGGATTTTTCTGCTACCCAATATCCATATTTGCTTATAAAATTTGTGACTTAAGGCAATATCGAGGCAATCCGCACAGGATGGACATATGTCAATGAGAGACTGATCAAATGAAGTCCTAAACATTAATAGGAAGATTCAAGTAAACAATACCAAGTGAATTTAACGTTCAGTTAAATATTTATGTTAATCTTTTTCATTGCGGCATTTTTTAACCAAATTTTCAACTCCAAGATTTTAATGGTAATCATTCTAAAATGATTTCTTCTTACTTTTAAAGTCATATAGACAACTTGCTTCAAACGTTTATTAATGTCAATATCAATTAAATGTTGTACTCTAGAAATGTTTCGATCACTTTCAGATTTACTTGTTTTATTCTTTTCTATGTATTTTAACAAACACAAAACTAATCTTTTTGATGGATTTTTGTTCTCTGAGCTGGATGGTTTGGTCGTGGAGCTTTCGGAAGAACAATGAATGCGCCACGACCAAACCATCCATCTCAGAGAACAAAAATCCATCAAAATCATCCACCTGAGCTACAAATCTTCTCCATCATCACTAAAATAAACTATTTTTAAAGTTAACTTGAATATTTTTCTTCTAATACACAGATCGTAAGGATGAAATCAAAACTACAGAAACCTGATCATGATGTATAGACATTCACTATTTCTGCAGGTGTACGGATTTACTATGATTAGAAAATAAAGCGCCATAAAAAGTACTTTAAACTAACTGATAGTAAATATTTTTATTTTCAATGACTCCTTTATCTTCAACACATCTGCTGCCTAATTTTTTTGATGCTGGACAACAACAGCGTTCATGACGAATATGTTCTACAGGTTGACATTGACAATTTTTGATAGTATAACTGATATGACGATTTGTTTTGAGACATGTACCGGTACTATCACAAGTACCTTCAAGCATATGTGGTTTTGGACATTCTAGTAAAAAGAAAAAAATCGACCATCGTTTTATACTTCACTCAAATCCTTATAATGATATTTAAGTTATATGTAACAGAAAAAAATAATGAACTATAGTTTCCAACAACTAATGGTTTAACATTAGGATCTACCCAGTACCTAAGTTGATAACCAAATAGAAGAATATTAAGAATTTAGTTCAAAAACAGATGCAACTTATTGGAACTGGAGGTTTCTTCAGACAATTCATTTTGAAGATAGCTTTCATCAATGACTAATATTAACCAGACAGTTCTTTTGTCATATAACTGAACGTCGAATGGATGCTTACTTGCAATTGCATCAAAGTATTATTTTCAACTCAGAGCAATTAGTAAAGACGATAAATGTCTTATATTGTAAAATCTCGAAGAATCAACACTACTCGTTTAGTAACAACTCAATTATAATATATACCAAACAATCAAATAAATCACTTACTGGGACATTTACGACGAATAAAATTCTCCTTAACACAACGTTCATTAACTTTATCAAATTTAGAGACTTTATTCACAACTATTTTACAGTTTCCAACACAAAATTCTTTCTTTTCTCGCGATTTACCAAGACAACCTTAATTATTATTTAAAAGAAAATAGAGAAAGAAATGCTAAATAAAGCATAGTATTATGATTAAAGTTGAATTTTATCAACATATATCATAGACTGAAATATGCTAGTGAATCACTAATAATCAATCAGTAATAATTTTGCCTTAATATAAGCAGTGTGTAACTACCGTTTCACTACATATATAACTTAGATTGTCCATGCTTCATAACATACATGACTGTATTTAATTAGTGAGTTGAGATTCATCAATTATATCCAAGTTCAGTTGGTTCACGACATCGAGCATCGATCATTTTATATTATCATATATCACAAAGAATTCTTACTACTATTATGAAAGTTGAAACTGTTTTCTGATATTACATAAAACAATGCAAAATACCTTTTTTGTAAACTTCATTTTTCTTATGGAACTTGAAATATTAATTAAATATTCTAAAAGTAACCTAATTAATAATACAAGGTTAATAAATTAAACAGTAATATAAATGAAGCCTTCTATTCTAATAGCATGATATCATTCTTTTTTCACTAAATATTATTGATTTTGAATGCAAGAAACAATACAAATCAAAAGTATTCCTCAAGGAAAATAAATATGGCTAACTTTAACTTAATTGAATGAAGTATGAATGACAGATGAAATTGGTTCTACCTAATTGTCAGTAACATTTAATTATATGACTTGGTCAATTAGTTTTATCAGTTGGTTATTGATAATTAATTGTGTGATATTGTATATGTCTCCATACTGTAAGTTATTGATTAATCTATGTTAAATACTACACAACTTAATTAACATAAATTTGGCTGTAAGTAAATCATATAAAATATGGTGTATCCATATATCATTTTGATTGAATTCTAGGGTCAAATATATTCAAATCACTAGTTTTGTGTTCTTCCTATACGTCGTCAGGCTATAAGTCCAATTACAAAGGACAAAATAGTAGACATTACACAAATGCTCGATGTTTTACTCATATAATTAAAAAGCATTATGAGTTATTATTGTCCATCGAATAATGGTTTGATAACTAAATTTTAGTGCAAATTTTCATATAACGAGGTTTTTCTATTATTTATTTTATAAAACATATGTAGTATGCGACTGTTTCAAAACTGTTACCTGTATCGATACTCCTATTAGTTCTTCGTTTGATTTCACCTAGTAAGAAAGACTTTGAATAGATCTAGTCCTGAATATATCTGGCTTTAGCTAGATTTTATACTGATGAAATGATTTACGCAGTTATAAGTTTCAGGAATAATCATTCTGTCAGTCTTTACACTCATTGGTATCAGAGATAAAAACAAATAAAGTTTATTCTACATTGCTTCGGTTAACTTATTATATTTTAATTTTCATACACAGATAAACATTTAGTTCCACTAGATGATAATAAAATAGTATAAAAATATGCAAAAAATTAGTTAGCTTACAACATTCCCGTTCTTCTTTTATAATTTGTTGTTTTTTACATTTACAATTATCCGGATCAACCACTGATTTGATCAAAAATAGAGGTCGTCGACATGTTTGTGGTCTACATTCACCGTATTTGATTTTAACTGCCTTTGAGCAAGCTATAGCGATCAAAAAAGTTTTAAATAAGTTATCTCCAATGCTTCACATTTATGAGAATATACTACTGCTTATTGAAAGGAAAATTGAAAAAATAATAATGACGGACAAGTAGTTGTAATAATAGTTGTCAAATGCTTTTTTGTTCCAAGCTACTTCTTTAACAGATTATCCTTCTGTGTTGTTTGATGTGGATATCATTCAATTTTGATTATATTTTGCTTTTTACATTACCTCAATCCAGTGAATACACGACTAAGATAATACTTACTGTAAGTGGAATGCGTCGTGATATTGTTAAAACTGATTATCACTAGCCACAATAACATCGGGAAATATGCTTTCTCACTACGACACATCCTAGATTGCACGAAAGTACAAAATATGACTACAGGAATTAATGATATAACCTAGATGACGAATATATATTTATGGATTAGATATGCCTTTCAACTCTTCCTTCTCAACGTACAAATGAATTTTAAAGACAAACCAATCAACACATTTACAGGCAATTGACTGTTTATGTAAGTTATCAAAGGAGAATTAATAAGTTGAACTAGATACAAATACCATGAAACAGCCGTTTATACGATGTCCGAGACTGCTGCTAACATATGAGCTTCTTATACACAAGTTCAACATAGCTGCTTGAATGAGCAAACCTAGGTTGAGTAAGAAGATTCATTGAACAAATTCAAACTGAGAATGTATACACACTCAAAAATATACATCTTTTTCCCTTAGAAACGATAGCTACGTTTTCAACCAACTGTGGGTCAATTTCTGAATCCTGGCCAATAACGTGCTGCTATCTTTTGATCTATGTCTGATTGACCGAGCGTTTAATAAGTATATTTTTAAAATATGCTAACTAGTTAACCATGTAGTAGTTAGCCAAGTTTTATGGATCAGTATATTTTAAAACACTTTTGAAACTAGAAATAGTATGAGTCAGTTAAAAGTAATGACACATCGACAAATGGAATATTACCTAATTACCAAGCATTTGTAATTCTGGCACTAAATCTAAATATCTCATTTTGACGATCACTGAAGAAAGTAATGGCATATAATCCTAAACCGTTGTGACCTACGACATAATTAATCATTTCTACCGATGAAGATTTCAGTAGTTTTTTGAATGGTCTTTGTACTGAGAAATGTATGGTTCAAATTATTTAGCACAGAAACACAGAAACCGATTGCTAAAGATTTAACTCACTGATGGGAACTATTTGTTTCTTGGTAGATTTTACACACTTCAAATTTTTCAAAACCATTTTATGTGTATAGACCTCTAATTGTCCATTTCTACAGAATGTTTGCTTTTCCTCTTCCTTTAAACAGCCTATAGAATGAAAAGAATTAATTTGTAATCAATGTACTGCAACAAATACATTTTTGAATAGTTTATATGGATTGACATGTTGAATAGCCTGTTTTCAGTTGACTTATATCGATGATGTTTTCTTTGTCCAGTTACTGATAACTTTATTGATGTTCATATATTGAAAATAACCCATTTACTGATGAATTAATGCGACTAATAACTTCAGTATTGTCTTGAGTTTAATATATCACAACAGGATCTTGATTACTTATTTAA